CCCGTGCGGCTTCTTTCCCTGTCCCGCCCCTCCCCCCCCCCCTCTTCTGCCCGTCCTCGACTCGGGGTGTAGGCGTACGTCCTCTGTGCCGAGGCCCTGTGGCAGTTCGATTCCTTTGAGGAGGCCAGTGAGTGCCTGGCCTTTGCCCAGGCAACAGCCATTCGCCGGCCGGAGGTCGTGCAGCTGCCACCGGCCGAGGATGGCCCAAATGGCCCGTACGCCGGAGACCGGTACACGCCAGCTGGGCTGATCCAAAATGCCCCGGTCGTGGAGCGCCTTGCGCTTTTGGTGCGGACGCACCGGCAACATACTGGCCCGGCGTCTGCCGCCCTGCTGGATGCCGTGGCGGGGCTCACGCCGGACGCGCGCGACGCCTTTCCCCTGCGCCCCAGCCCGGACCAACTGCAGGCGTCTCGCCGCCAGGCGCAGATCCGCCTGACGCAGAGCCTGGCCCACTGCTTTGCCTTCATCGGCCCCAGCTCCACCGCCAGTGGTCGTCGTCGGCCGGCCGCCGCCGCTCCGATGTCCAGTAGCTCTCGCCCGGGCGACGGCGCTCCCGCCACCAACCGCCTCGGGCTCCGGCCGATCCTCACGGCCAAGCGCCTGCGCACCATCGCCCCCGCCTCCACCCAGACAAGCATCCTTTCCTTTGCCCGCCCGGCGGCCGTCGAATCCCCGGATGCCGATCCCCAGGCTGCTGGAGGCAGTGAGGTGGGCGAGGACACGGCTGTTTCTCCATCCTTGGCCTTGGCTCCGGGGGGATCGAACTACCTGGATCAACTGACCTCGGAAACGATCCTGCAGATTGCCGCCTGGCTGTCGACCAGCGACCGGCAGAATTTGGTCCGCGTATGTTGACACCCTGCCTCCCTGTGCCCGCGCCTTCGCCATGTCCCTCCCGCCCTTCCCCCATCGCCACCCCTCGCGTCCATCATCGGCATGCTGGTCGCTGATCTCTTTTACGGCCCCCCTGACCCGGGTGCTGCCCCCGTCTGCTGGCTGCCTGCTTTGCCCCGACACACAGGCGTATCCCCAGTTTGAGCAGCTGATTGAGGGGCACTTTTCCGATCCGCGATTCTTCTGCTTCAACGATGAGCGCTCCAAGGCCATCTTCCGGCAAAAGAGCAACTGGATCCAGCGGGTCTCCATCCCGAACACCATTACGTACGTCCTCCTCGCGCCGCGCCCTTGCTGGCATATCCTCGCGCTCGGCATTCCGGTCTCACCTTCGCCTGTGCATGTCGATCAGACGCATCTCCCTGTCCAACACCATTGGCAAGTGGGTCCTCCAGTGTCTCCAGGCCAGCCGGCCGAATCTCGTTCATCTGGAAGAAATCGATGTGGTGCGTGAGTGCTGGCAGCCTCCTCGATGTGTATCTTGTTGCCCTTCTTGCTGGTGCTTTTCTCCCCCTTCCCTCCCCCCGCCACTCTCTCTTTCTCTCCCTCCCTCTCTCTCTCTCTCCATCTCGCCTCACCGTAGCCCGGATCACTGATCCTCGTCCTCCCGCCCGCCAGTCTGACCTGCGCGCCACGGAGCTCGAGCTCGGTGACATTTTGCTCCGGCTTGTCCGGACGTCAGGCTCCCCGAACGGGAAGCTGCGCGTGCTGAACGCCAATAACACCGATCTCTCGCTGAGTGTGCTCAGTGAGCTGGCCACTGCCGCCGGCGGCAGTCTCACCAAGCTATCCATCCGGCGTTGCCCGATCATCTTCTCCACTCTCGAGGTGGACGACCGGTGGCATCACATTCGCAAGTCGGGCTTCCTGCGCAATCTCCGGGATCTGGACGTGTCATCCAACAACAACGCCAAAGATGGGCATCTGCAGAACTTCTTGCGACCCTACCGCCAGGAAGACGGGACCCTCATCAGCCACCTCGAGCGCCTGGTAATCTTCCAGTGCTTTCGGATATCACTTCGGGTGCTCCTTTGGTTTGCCCTCCCCCAGTGTCAGTACAGTCTGCAAGAGGTGTGCATCACGCCAAAGGACAGCATGACCAATTCCCCGCCGCTGGAGGAGTGCGTTGTCCTCGTGCCATCCATCCTTCCTCCTCTTCCTCCTCCTCCCTGTGGGCTCTTGCAACACACCCGTCTTCGCCCGCCGGCCGGCCGGCCGGCCGTCCGTCCATCCGTCCATTCACCCCTCCCCCCTCCCTGCTTACTAACTTCCTCCCGGCGTCCTTGTCCAGCCTCTCCGATGTCATCGCCTGCACGCAGAACACCCTCTCCCAGATTTGGATCAGCTGTTGCCTGGCTGCCAATCCCAGCCTCCTGCAAGCCATCGGCACCTACCTTGGACCACGGGTGAATTTGACCGGGGTTGTCTCGGCCAACAGCTCCCCGACATCCATCCCTCGGCCGTTGGACTCCACCGGCATGCCTTTCTTCAAGTTCCTCTCGGTTCTGGCCCTTCAAAATGCCCGGTTCTGCAACGATGAAACGCTGCCGGTGCTGGCTCCGGCCTTGCATCTCCTGACTAAGTGCGCTCCCCGATCCGAGCCCCGGGCGAGATCTCCCTCCTCTGTCTCTCAGCTTCTCTCTCTCTCTCTCTCGGGCTCCTGATGCTGACATGCCCCCCTTGACCTGTCCCATCTGCTTCCTCTCCCTCTCGCTTTCCCTCTCCCCTCTTCAGGCTCATCATCAATGATGCCACCTTCACGAAGGTCGGCCTCCGGCGTACCATCCTCGATGTCCATCGACACGCCGTGCAAACGATGGAGCGTCTCCAGCATATGGACATGGTCAACATGCGTGGGCTGCCCCGGTCGGATATCCACGCCAAGGGGTTTGTCCTCTTCCCGAATCTCGAGCAGCTGGATTTCAAATCGTGCGCCGGGTTCTGTGACGAGTCCATGCATTTGATGTTCGGGTTGACCCTGGCTGAGGATGGTCAACGTTTGCCGATTATTCCCGGCCTGGCGACCAACGGCCACAACTCGCCCCTGCCCCAGCTGGTGGATGTCAATCTCAACCAGACCCCCATCACCATGGCCGGGGTCCGGGTGTTGGCCTCGCGTCAACGCAGCTGTCTCCAGCGCCTGGCGCTGATGTTTCTACACCCCTGTTCCGACCCCACACGCACGATTAGCATTGATCGCGTTCGCTCGGCCGTCGGCCCTGGCTGCAAGATCCTGCTCGACAATGTTGACGACGACGACTGACCGACACTGTTGGGAGACCAATCCTGCGAAATAGAGGACAAGGAGGTAGCCTTCGAACATTCAAGCAGAGTGTTGGCTTGGGCATTGTGTGTTGTGTGACTTGCAGATGGGGATGGGAGCTGGGAAAAGGGGCGAGAGAGAGAGAGAGGAGGGGGGAAAGTGAGCGAGGGCAAGGGAGGGAGGAAAACGTGCTAATAGACGAATTCAGAGTGAGCGATGCATACACACACCCACACACACTCTTACAAAGTACAACGAGAGGCGCCCAAAAACTCACCTGGGCCAGATCCACTGCCCTAGGAAACAGGGCGCGCGAGGAAAGTTCCCACACCAAGCAAGTATTCCTCTTTCTCCGTCTCGGCCCCCCCCCCCCCCCCGAACGGGCCCCTGCTGGCGCAGATCGCGGCCACCGATCGGTGCATCAGCTGTGTGCGCACATGTGATCACGCGTTTTAAGATCCTTCCAGGCCTCAACGTGCTACGCGGCCGGTATAGCGGCCAGGCACCTGGCGAAGAAGAAGAAGCATGCCCCCCTGTGGCGCATGGAAAACGAGGCACGCCGATTGGACACAATTGCGTGAGCACAGCCCCC